GGAGCTGACGCCTGAAGAACAAGCTCTTCGAGGAGAGCCGCCTTTTCCTGCGTAACTCCTTTCTGCAGCCCTGTGCGCCACTCACCACCCAGCTCAGTGAGGGCCTGAGGATTGAACTGGAATACGTTCCCTCCTTGAGTTAATCCCAGCCACAAACCCTAAAAAGTGACGCTGCCCTCCCTAATTCCACCTTCTTCTGTGTTTCCTTTTTGTTTACAGAAACCAATTCCACCTTTATTTTCTCCTGCGCAGATTCCAAGCCAACTTTGGGAGGCAGGAACGGAGCCAGCCAGCGCCTGCTTTTTGCTCTTGGCCAGGCTCTGGGCGCCCTCTGCAGGCCCTGGGAGGGGTGTCCCCACATCTCCTTCCCTCAGCCGCCGGCTGCACTTACTGGCTGTCTCCCTGGCGGAGGGGACCCCTGTCCTTGGGCAGAGCTGTTAAAGACGCCCTAGGGAGACAGCCTGCTGGGACAGAAAGCCTGCTAGCTCAGGAATTCGTTGATACCCATTTAGAACCTGCTGTGAGTCAAATGCTAACTCATTCATTCACTCACTCAACACGTTTTTAAGTCCTACACGTGACAGGGCACATGGCGTTCCCTGGCCTGACCCCGCTAGAGTCCACTTTGAGTTCCTTCTCTGCTCTGCTCTGCTGTGCTCAGCACCCCGGGTACCCTAGGCCCTTTGCACAGTGGGCACCCCAGAAATGGCCACCACCGGGCTCCAGATGTCATCCGAGCAAACGCAGACGGGATCCCTCCAGCCCCGCCCCCGGTCCCCAGCCGTGTTTACTGCACATTTCATAAACACAAAGTCCTGGAAAAAGGAAGTCAAAAGAGTTTTTTATTAATATCGGTGTTGTTTATCATTCATATATATCACGAGCTACACAAAATGCCAACTGAAGAGCCAATGTAGAAAAATACGAGAGTTCTACAGGCACCGATGACTTGGTTATGACCATTGCCATGGGGTTACAGACAGTTTGCAAGGGTGCGCGGGTGGCGGCAGTCGCTGCGTACAGATACAGTCACCGGAATGAAGACGCGTTAGGGATTCACAGTGGCATCAAGCCGTACATCCGGGATCTCTTCCAGAGAGAGGGACCACGCCGAAGACCCTGCCTCACTCTACCTCCAATGACATAGCAGGTCACGCCTGAAAACTAAAGTAAGCTAAAATAATAAAATCAAGGAAACCCCAGAGCTCTGCGGTGTGTGATCTCTAAACACAAGCCACAGCCCCATTCTCCTGGGCGAGCCTGAGCGTGGCCATGCTTACGGACACGTTTGATCATCGGCTTCTGTCTGTTAACTTGAAAAGCAGCAGGAAGAGAAGCCGTGGAGCGTGCGAACACGTTGTACCACGGAGAGGTGACCTCTGTTCAGGGGGAGGGGCTTCTGGACCTTCTGGGCTGGAACAGGCGCCATTCATTCAGCTGCTCCTTTTGCAAGCTCCCTACTTTGACCCTGACCCAGGATGGTAGCCCCAGGGAAGCTTTGACGTCCTCCCTGGGCCGGCACGGCTGTTCCCAATGTGGCATTTCTCTGGGCAGTTTTCTGCTTCCACGTGCGGATGGGATGTCCAACCCCAAGACCAGGAGGGTGGCTTGTTAGAAAGGGGTCCCGCGTGACACCATCCTGGATATCTCCCCCCGTTCTCCTGCCCCGTTATTCTATCCACCTGGACAGGCTTCTCTTGTGACGGGCCTCTGCTCCCCCTAGATTATACATTTTTGAAGGGCAGGGTCCCATCTGATTAATTGCTGTAGCCCCCAGTGCTTAGCACAAAACCAGGCAGAGACTGAGTGAATACTGTTTGAAAAGAAACGCCTTCACGTGTAAGTTACGGAGAAATTGTGATGGTAGAAATCACAGACTTTCAAACAGTACCATACAGAGGAGACGTGGTCCTGTGTCTGTCCCATACAGTCTGTGGGACAGAATGAACTGCTCTCCTCAAAGGAAATAATACAAAACTAGCAAAGACATGTGCATGGGGCCTGGCCACACCTGAATTACTCTTCACCTCCCACAGAGCAAGAAATTAATGAAGGGCATTTTGTCATATGCAGCAACTTAGCCTTTTCAGCCCAAGTTGTAAGACATTTCACTTTGTTGCAGTAAAAAGATACTGAGTGACATTTACAGAATGCAAACTTCCAATGTCTTAAACCAGACCTGATGTTGTTCTCGCTGTGTCCAGCTTTAGCCTTTCCTCCGCTCTCAACTTGCCGGCGGCTTTCACTAGGCCCTGAGCAGGAAGATGGTGTTATTACATATATCATACAATCAGGCACTGGAATGAGCTGGAAAACTCTAGGATGGAGGCTCCTGGAATCATAATAAAATGTTCTGAGTGCTGGAAGCTTAAGCCTCAAGTTTCAGAAAGGTGACTTACCTCCAGGCCACTGTGAATGAGCCACTTTGGGGCCATGTAAATGTTTAACATACTATAAAGAAAATTCCCTATAGCTAATCCCTGGTTATAAAACGTCCCTACGGTGCCTCCTACAATTTTAGAACACGCCCTGTCGGCAGCCACTGTCCCAGACGCTCTGCCTCTCCTTCTCATCCGTTTCAAAGGCCTTTCAAAGTAGATGTTTTCAAATCTACTGTGCAGACCAGGAAACCTGACCCAACCCCCCTGGCTTGACCGCAACCAGGACTAGAGCGGCTCTGCTCATTCCAGAGACCTACCGCTGCAACACCTTGTCCCTCGAAACTATCCTCCTCTTGCAGATTCGGAAGCTTAGAGGGTCACCGTGAGCCACCATCAAAGCTTTTCTGAGAAAGAGTCCGTTCCTGTGGACTGATAGGCTGAGGGGCTGGAGAAGACGCCATGAGGTCTCAAAGAGCGGACCGTCCTCAGCAAACACTTACCCAGCCCCAGCAGCGGTACGTTGATAAACTAGACATGTTCCTTCTCTCGAGAAGACACGTTCCTGGGAAGGAGACCTACCAGGGTGCAGAGGAAGACAGTGGGACGTGGAATTCGGAAGGGGGGGCCCCTCCCCCTCTCCCTGGGCATAGCTCTCCAGCTGCTTTCAACCTGCCACAGCGGCGTTTTGTTTGCCCCGGTTAGGCTCACCATTAGCCGGGTCTATTTCTAAGAGGTCCTGAGAAACACAACAAATCATAAAAACAAAAAACAAAAAAATGATGCTGAGAATGAAGACGTACTAGACCATTATCTTAGCAGGCATTTGGTTTATAATTTTTATCATCAATAATAGAATGTCCCTGTTTTACATTATATATATATATATATTTTATATATATATTATATATCTATACTTCCATAGAAAGAGACATAAAAAACCCTTTTGAAATGAGGCATGATACATAATACTTGACACTCTTATGTACAATACAGAGATGTACTTTCTACACAATTACAGCAGATGCTCAGAGGCCAGAGAGTGTTTACAAAGAGAGCAGAGCACCCCCCCCAAAAAAAGAGGTGCACCATGCAGCTGGACGTTTATTGCCATGAGTTCTCACTATGTCCAGACAGCATATTGAAGTTAAAATGGCATCTGGTTTTTGGAAAAGACAATGGTCATCGGATTCACCCTGGCCGCAACACCACCGGCACCGTGGTCTTTCAAACGACCCGGTAATGACACGCGTGGCTGATGGGAAGCGGAAGCACACGATGAAGAGCACTCATCGGAGGGGCGGCGCCCCTCCCAGGCCGGGAAGGAGCAGCTGCCACCCGTGGAGGGTCCCACGTTGAGCACAGCGCCCGTCTGTGCCGGGAGACGTGGCGCCGGGAGCTGCCCCGCAGGCGCCCAGTCCCTCCGGGGTTAGACGGTGGGTTGGCACAGGTCACAGAGGCCACGCCCATCGGGAGCTTGGAAAGCACCCAGTGGGAGAGCAACCCAAGGACTGACCCCTGACGTGTCAGGACCAGGATACGAGGCGAGTTTGGAGAAGACCCACCGAGAAGCCTGCCTGCCTTTGATGAACACACAACCCCTGCCCGCGTCTGTCCTGTCTCAAGGCACCCACAGTCTAGCCTCCCGCCCAGTTGCCTCTCTGGCACATTTCCCAGCATCCACGTCAGCTTTCCCAAAGCCACACTGTGAACATGGGAGGGATCGGAATTCTCAGATGAGCCATGGTTTTAGGACCATGACCTTGGTGACCTAAAGTCATGGTCCCGGTGCTGGGACCGGGCACCTGGTCCCAGACCAGTGCCAACGCTTCATGAGGCGATTTCGCAGAAGCAGGAAAAGGGGCCTGGGGCGATGACACTGTCCTTGTGTCCCGTCTGCCCTCACGCCTACAGAAGATGCGTCTCCCGGGTCGGTCCCCTACCGCTCAGTGTGTCCCTCAGCACAACTCAATGATTCTCGGGGCTTCCTTCAGCCCATGGAGTGTCCTCGGTCTTTGGGACCATATTAAACATCCCGGTCAGTTTCAGAACTTCCTCTTCAGTCACTTAACAATTTAAGTTGCGATCTCCATCTAACTGTTGTTGTCCTCTCTGATCTCACCTTCATTCCTGCTCTCTCATTTTGTTTTGTTTTGTTTTTAAATCAATGGTAACCTTCCCTAGCCCTTTATTTTCCTAAGGCAAGAATACATTTCTGTTGAAAGATTCCCAGCACCCTTCTTAGAGCCCCCCTGAGGTTTGGAGCCCAGCACCCCTCCTCCGGCTAGATGTGCTGTCCTTCCGCGGACAGGAGGGGCAGCTGGCGTGTTAACGGTTTTAAGTTTTTTTTGCAATTGCAACCAATGCTAACATAGCATTTCTTTGGAAATATACCAGCAGGAGCTTCACACGCGTGTGCATTAACCTCGGTGCCCCCTTCTGCCAGCTTTAGTCAAAGTCAATTTTCCCTACCACAGACAGAGATTCGAGCAATCACAAAAACAACCCATGGGCCAGGGCTATGCATAGAAAACGTCTGGAGAAGTAGGCGAGGCGGCTGGCTCACCGCATTCTGCCCAGTTTCCTTTACAGCATCACCTCTATCCGCCCCCCCATCCTCTGATCGCCCCGCCCACTGCTGTGATAACATGGACTTGGAGTTCGGAAAGCATTCCTTTGCCCCTCGCTGAGAAACACGAGGAGAGAATGACAGCGTGGCATCACATTTTTCTTGAACAAGTGGCACATTGAGTCCGTTAAGGGTTATATTTACACATACATGGTCACTCTGCACAGAGGTTAACCTGAGTTCTGAGATGCTTGTGTGCACTTCGTTGAATCAAAAATGATAAAGCTATGAGCTAGTAACATATTGGACACAGCAAGTTAAACTGGAGCGCGCTCTCTGTGAGCTACTGGTCTTTACAACGGTGTGCTCCCCAACTCCAAGGACTGTTTCTTTATTTTCTCGTATTTTCCCTAGAAACCATCTGGGATGAGACTCCAGGGGGCTATCAGTTCGGGTAAAATCTGTTGCCTTTAATTAACACCGTTGGTTCAGCCTTCGCAAGTCTCTGACATGGAGGCACCCAGGGTATCTGTCCCGCACCCCGGCCTCCCACAGCGCCCTCCGCTCTGAGCTCCACCCTGGAACAACTGAGATCTACAAAAGGGTGACTTGGCTGACGCCCTCCTGGGTCTCGGGCAGCTCCGGGAGCTCCCCAAGGCCATTCATTACTTGAAGTAGTTGAGTCCCACCACCAAGAAGAACTTCTCCAGGAAGAGCTCCGAGTCCAGTACGGCGATGTGCGCAGCGCGGCCAATGAGCGCGTTGGCGGTGCTGGGCAGGGCGTGGAGCACGTTGTGCCGGACCAGCGTGCAGCCCTTGGCTTCCACCAGGGGGCGCAGGAGGTTGTTGATCATCTCCGTGTAAACCGGCCCTGCAGTGGGGAGCGAGCAGAGGACGTGGGGACGGAGCTCAGCACAGGAACCCAGTGAAGATCACCGAGTGTGCGCTGGGCTCTCGGTCCTGTTCAGGACGCCAGATGCGCCCGACCAGGAGGAGTCCAGTTCATGCACGTGCATTTGCTTTTTAAACTGTAATCATGAAACGCGGCTTACCTGTGTGTCTGTCCTTGAGCGCCATTTTGCACATTTCGATCCTGGCTGAATGAAACGGCACATAGCGATCTTGGGGCGAGGCCACCAGCACGACGTTTTTAAAATACTGCAGACCTGCAACGAGCCAGGCGGGTACTTTAAGTCCAGGGAGAGCCCACGTACACCTTCTGGTTTGCACGCTTTGGACACACCAGCCCCGAGAGAGGACAAGCGAACAGATATCTGACACACGGGTGTGTCAGCGCAGAAGGCCCTTCCCGGCGGAGAGGCTGAGAGCAGAATTTGCAGCAGCAGAGTTTTTGTATCATAGAAGGAAGATGAGGGCATTGTGCCCATCGGGCAGGGCGGCTAAGGCCACACAGAGCAAGCCGCTCGGGACAGGATACCAGCAAGGAGTCGGGACAACGAGCTTTTATGGGCCAGCCGCACTCAGGAGTCCTCGCTCCCTGCTGTTCTCCGCTCATTGCTGGGACAAGTGGCGCTCCTACAGCTCGGTGCCCTTCCTCACTGTCAGCATGAATGGACAGCAACTGTCTGCCCTTTGGTCAGCCGGGGTGCCCCCGGGTGAAGGAGCTGCGAGCTGGCCCCGCCGGCCGGGGGCCCGAGTGATCAGGAGGGTAAAGGGCTGGTGGGGTTCGGAGGCCACAGCTCCCCAGCAGAGACAGCCCCCGTGCATGCACGCATCTCGGGTCCCCTCTGGGATGCCTTTCCCGTGCCATCGGGGACACAGGCCAGGAGTGACTGAGCTCTCACGTGGCCTCCTGCCAGGTAGAGGCCGAGCCTCCCGACCCAGCCCCTCAACGCGTGAATCCACATAGCGCTGATGCCAGCTGGGGTCACGGAGGATCCCTGGCTCGCACTCAGGACACGCCGCGTGAAGCAAGCCACACACACACCTGTCTTCTGGCTGAGCTGGTACAGGAAGCACTTGCGCAGGTCGGCGTTATCCCTGAATGTCAGCTGCAGCAGGGACCCGGATTTCTTCAGCTTCTGCATAAGCCACAGGCCTGGGGGCAGCAAACCAGCCAAAGTCAAACGTGTGAGCAGTAATAACCGCGGAAGGAGCGACAGTGAACTGTGACTTTTCATTAACGTATCATGGGTGAGAGTAGACAACCCCCTTGTGCCCCCAGGAAGCCGGAAGCAGGAGAGAAAGCTGGGGCACCTAGTCCAACCTCGCTCAGTGCAAGCCAAAGGCCGCCTCGCTCCACTCACGTCTCCTCCCACCGTCCACGCTTGGAGGGGCTCTGAAGTCGCAGGATTCCATCAAGAGGAACGGCCGCCTCTGGCTTCTCTGGCTTCGCCTCCCTCCGCCCCGAATGAATTGTGACGAATGTCGGGCTTGGCAAAAATCTTACCTGTGCTGACCAGGGTGCTGTTGTTGTACAGGGTCCCCAGGTGAGGCCCGGACAGCGACAGGAACGTGTGGAGTTTGTTGAGGTAATACCGGAACCGGGGCCTGGTTAGGACCGATCGGATGATGATGTTGCCGAGAGAATGGCCAATGAAGCTGTTCAGAGACAGAGGCAGTGGCGGCGAGGGTGACCGACGGCCAGCCCGCTGCCCGAGAGGCCCAGCCCGGGGGTGCAGGGGCAGCGCCCGCCACCTCCCGCCGGTGCACTGGCCACGAGAATGGGGCCGCTGATTCATCCCTGTCAGGTTTCCAAACTCTGGCCACGTTCGGCTGGCGGCGGGGGTCTCTGTGAGCGGCAGCCGCTGTGCCCGGTGTGGTCAGGGAGGCGTGAGGGCGCCCTGCCCAGCTCTGTGTTATGGGAGCGGCCCCCGCCCCGCCTGGACTCGGTGTCTCCTCTCGGTCCCCCTGGGGGCGCCGGTCGAGCAGTGCACCGCCCCGGTCATGCACAGGCTGCAGTGCCGGCCCCTCGTGTGGCCGTCCTGACCTGACGCGGGGCCACTTGTCTGTGTCATCGGCTCACCACTCGTCCCCCCACAGTGCCCTTGTCCCACTGCCTGCTCTCCGTCCTCACCGGCAACACCCTCCTCCACGCCCCGCCCAGACCTATTGTCTCCGCAGGTTAGGGACCCAACAGAGCCTACTTTCAAGTTCAATAACTACTGTGGAAACCCTGTCCTATGTCCCATGCGCGTCACCTCGCCTCTGGAGGCCTCCGCACCCTCCCTTGGGAGACAAGGAGGAAGTGACGTCTTATCTCTGAGGCCTCCGGGGGCTGACGCACGTGGAACGACTCACCACGGCGCCCGCACGTGGCAAGTGCAAGCTGGTCCCTGTCAACCTCAACGCGTGCGCGTGTCAGCTGAGTCGCCTGTTACCGCGGGAGGCCACAGGCCGCCCCGTGGAAACCCTCTCCTCGGGCAGGCAGTCCGGCAGCCCTGTCCCACGCCATCTCGGGGCGCGGATCCCGCCTCATGGGGACACGGCCCCGGAGATTTAAAAGCTTGAAAAGGTTGCAGCCGGGAGTCAGAAGAACAAAAATCCCAACCTAGGGACGTCTGAGTAAGTGCCAGCCTCTCCCTCCCGAGCCTCCAGTGTTCACTCTCCTGCATTCACACTGGGACAGATGCGGGTCTGCCACCGCTGCTCTGGAAGTTCTCTAGGCCATGAAGAGCCCCAGCTCCGTTTGTCCCAGCGGTATGCGGAAGGCGTCGTGTTGCCCTCGTAGACAGCAAACTCTCAAAAGCGCCCCCTCGGCCCGGGGGTCCCCTCTTACCTGAGTCGGGATATGGAGAGGTTGTACAGCTGGATGTGCTGGATGATTTCATCCAGGAGCCGGTCCGTCATGGTGTCAAAGTCCGCAAACGTGTCCATCTGAAAGAAGGAAGAGGCAACGGGCGTCGGGCGGGGTGGCAGCGAGGCCGGGCCCCTCCCTGCACCATCTTCTCCCACGAAGCACCGCGGCGCGTCCTGGGAGCACGCCCCGGCCCGATGCGGGCGCCACGGGCTGCAACTCAGCCCCGGGAACCGGGCTCACAGGCTGGGGCCCTAATGGAGGAGCTCGGAGATCCCGGAGACACCCCGGTTAGGAGGCGGAAACGGAAGGGATGGAGAGCAGTCCGCGTGCTGTCCCCTGGCACCGCTGTCCCCACGTCACAGAGGAGGCACTCTGCCCTGAGAGGCGACGCGGTCCTGAGCCAGGGTTCACACCCAGGCCCGCCTGCCTCCAGAGCCCCCGGCCTTCCCCAGCTCAGCCTGTGGGCATAGCCCCCAGTCCGGGCCGTCCCCAGGGTCCCCAGGCCACCTGAGCCTTAGGAAGGGCAGTCGGAGGACGCAAGAGCATGACAGGCAGAGAAGAAATGTCACACGTGTCTCAGGGTCGGAAAGGGCAGACATCCTAGAAGGGGTCACACAATGTCAGGGACTAACTCTTGGAACTGCAGACGGGAACAGGCAGGGAGACTTGGGGTCAACATAAAAAAACAGTGTCTCGTAAGTGAAGCCGTCCTACCGTGTCACAGGCTGCCTGGAGTGGTGTGCTGGGGTCTCCTGAGTATCCGTCAGGGAGGGGACGGCGCGGGAGTGACGAGAAAGCCTACAGAGCCCCCTGTCACCTGCCATCATGAGCTGTGAGGCACTAGAGGGAGAAAGCCCACCAGTCCATTCCTCAGTGTCCGTGGCCTGAGAAAGGACCGTGTGGTGGCCAGCTCTCCAGCCTGGGGCCTCTGCGTCTTGGATCCGATCCCCTCTGTCTGAACCTAAGTCTCCTCCTAAGTCTCGAAGCGGGTGCCCTAACCTACTCCTCGGCGTCAGTTTACCGGTGAGGCAAAACATTTGGGACGCGCCTATGGCCGATGCCGCCACGCCTTCCGGACCCTGCTTCCTCGTCTGTGTCGTCCATTTAACACGAATTATTAAACGAACGGCGGGAATTCTGAGGCCTGACTTGACTGGGATGAGACATCCAGAAGTCACAACAGGTTCTCAGCAAAGGCTCTCGGGGACTGCCCAGTCAGCGTGTTCCTAAAGGGACAGACTGAAAATCTCTTTTCCAAAGGTAATGGCACGTGTTGTGGGACATAACCTTTCCTGAGAGACCCCTCGTGCCCTCCACCCAGTGGAGTTACTGCCTATGGACCCAGCCCTGGAGCTTTGGCGGGGCCTGGGCCCCGTCCCCGCTCCGGGAGGGCTGCGTGGGCGGGGCTGCGTGCACAGCCCGAGACCGCCTCCCTGCGCAGGCGTCCCCGGCTAACGACACCCACGTCCTGGGCACAGAAGCCCCCCTCAGCACAAACCACAAACACCGCGTCACCGAACGGCGCTGGCACTCCCGCCCCTGACCGTCATCCTCCGCTTGTCCTGGGCCCCGCGAGACCCCTCCTCCCTGGGGACAGGAGCCACCCCGGGCACGGTTACAGCGGGGGTCGGGGGGCCCAGGGCGGTCTCCCTGGAGGCAAGGGCGCTGCCCTCCTCTCGGGCCTCACTGACCCTGGGGACTCTCAGAGCCTCTGGCCCCTCGTCTGAGACGGGGAGGCAATGGTGCCGATGCTTGACCGAGGCCTGTGAAGTTCTAACGAAGACCCAGGCCCGGAGTGTTCAGCACAGGGTCGGCGCTCAGATGGTTCTCCTTCCTCCCCTCCCCTGCACACCTCTGTCCACTGCGTAGGACACACGCCCGTGTATACAGCAGGTGTCAAAGAAAAGGCAGCAGCGCTGAGCAGGAGTGGCGCAGGAAAGAGACTAGGCTTTCCGGTGTTGGCTTGTTGATGACTCCGGACAATTCCCATGTTCAGGGGTCACGGGACCCCTTCATCCTAATCAGGCTATGCCGCCCAAGAATAGCTGGCGCTCCGCCGTCTCAAGGCCCGTGGGCAGGGACTCGACAGCGCTCCCCCCAGCCCCGCCTCTCAGTCACAGCGTCTCCAGGGTCTCACCGGCTCTGACACCTCAGTAGGGCTCCAGGCTGCACCTGCCGTGTACTCACAAGGGCCCCAGCACTCCCACGGGGTCATAGGCCAGCTCCAGGGGTCACACAGACTCCAGGGGACCCCGTGCAGCCCACGGGCACCCAAGGCACGCGTGCACGGGGCTGTCAGCCCCCATCCCCAAATGCCGGGGGCGGCGGAAAGGGCCCAGCCACCGGCCTCACACGTTCCCGCTTCCGCTTCTCACTCTGTCCTCTCCGCCCAAAGAGAACAAGGAGCCCTTGCTCTCCGGACCCCGACGGGCCTGGCCGTGCTGCCCGCAAGGTGCCCCGCGGCCTGCGCGTGCACGAGCTGCCCGGTGACTGCCGGGGGCCGCGTCAGCCGCGGCTGCGGGCGCCTTATGCGCGGCCCGGGGCCCGTGGCCCCGGGCCCCGCGGCCCCATGGCCCTCGTACCTGGTTCTTCTCCGACATCAGGAAGTCCAGCTTGCCCCCGGGGAGCCCCAGCTCGATGAACGTCCGCACCAGCCGGAGGTCCGCGCTGTTCCCTGGAACGACAATGAAGCCGCTCACGTCAATCCCGTCAGAGCCGACGCCCCAGGGGTCTTTACCCCCTTCTCCCGCCATTCCCCGCATTCACCATTTTTTTCTTGGGCAGATAACGTAAACAACTAAAGCAAATCCAAGCCCCTGTCACATGCAGCCACCCTTCCCCCAGCATCAGAGCCTTTCTGGAAGTGTCCTCGCTCCGCGGGCTCACTCCCTGACCTGGACGTGCGAGGCTGTGAGTGTTGAGCACAGGAACGGCGGGAGGCACGCCTGCGGCCCCTTCGCCCACAGCCAGTTCTGTTTACCCAGGACCGTCTGCAAGGGGCGCCCTCGGTGACGGGCGTGCCACAGCGTGATGTCGACAAGCCCCGCTCACATTTCTTGCTCAATACAGAGACTGTTTAGTTCTAGCCACTCACAGGTAGTCTGCGAGTCCCCCAAATGGGCTGGTCAGCTATCTGTCGCCCCAGGGACAGACATCATGAAGGTGGAAGGGCCATGGGTCCACGTGCTCCACAGTGACCATCGGGGGCAGGGAGTGAGGACTTAGAATCTGGGGCTACTGCTCATAGCAGGACAGAGTCCAGTCCTCCCTGCATTCATTCCACTTGCCCACTCACTTATTCCCCTCATTCCTTCCCTTCCCCCATTCACACGTGTACTTCATTTTCCCAACAGCTGTGTGTGCCAGACACATCTTTTCTCTGGGGCCAAGGCCACTGCCATGTACCCAACGTGCTTCCGGCCACCCGACAGGTGCTAACCGGCCACTTGTTGAAGGAGGGCCTGATCCAAATGAATTCATGTTTGCAGCGCAGATTTTCCCGGGGGAAACCCTTCCGGAACTCACCGTCCAGGCCGTGGACACAGACTACCAGGTGAATCCCGTCTTCCAAATTTTCCTCCTCTTCCTCTGGTGGGAAATACGGTATGTCAGAAGCTAGTACAGATAAGTCACTGTACAGAAATCCGTCAATCTTCAGTTCTTTTTTAAATTTCTCTTTGGCCTGATAGAAACTGGAGAATACACTAGTTAATCACACGCCACGCTGTGCGCTGCACGTTGAGCAGAAGATGAGCCGAGCTGGAATGCAGGAGTGATGAGCAGCTAAAGGAAGTATCCGCCGAGTGGCAGGGCCGCAAAGGCGACCTCAGGGGAGACGCCTCGGGGGAGATGCGGGGAGACAGGAGAGTGCCCGCGAAAACCAAAGGCCGCACTGGCTCGGGTTCTGCAGGTTTCTGTCGTTCCCACATTGAGCGGGACTGATAAGGCCCTCCCTAGCTCCGAGCACCCACACAATCTTTAAAAAGACCTCCCCAGAGCGAAAGCTTCTTGCCCTTGACCGAGGCCACTGTGGCTTGGCTTCCACCTGCTTCTCCAGGGTCATCTCCCAGCTTCCAAAAAGAACGCGTTTCTCGTAAGGCCCTGCAGGAATCATGTTGCCTGTTTTCCGCGCCTTTGTGCCTTCTCCCTGTCTGAGATGCCCGCGTATCGGACAAGGCAGTGGCCAACAGCACAGACTCGGGGGCGCGCTGCCACGGTCAGAATCTCAGCTTTGACACTGGGCTGATCACTGAACCTCTCTGCATCCCGTTTCTCCAATTGCAAAAGGGGAATGGCATTCATCGACTAATCAATAAAGTTGTTTTGTGCAGTGATATAATCTATGCAAAATGCTTAGAACATACTTGAAACAGAGGAAGTAGAACAAAGGTATCTATTACTAACCATAGCATCATCATCGCCGTCACCACCATCATCACCAGCTTGGCGTCGCCTGGCCACCATCTCTATCACACTCTCTGTCCCCAGCCTGATGAGGTCCCTCTCTGCACCTCCGCTCGGCTGTGCACCCAGAGACGGTCCCATTTACCCAGTTCCCCTCCCTTCCGTCTCTCATCTCGCCGTTAGACAGCGAGCACAGTGGCAGGCAGGCCAGCGCTGGCCAGGGGTTGGGAACTGCCTGTCACGCGTTTGTTAAATCGATGACAGGGGCCCAGAAGGGCTATTTAGTAATCTTGACGAAGCAGCGGTCCCTCCCCTGGGGACCTGCCTGGGCCATTTCCTTTGGAACTATTGTGATGATGTAACTCTTCAGTATTTTGCAAAACAGTACCTACAGTGAGATGCTTTGATTAAATGATTCGATAATAGGCTTAATCAAATAGATAGTTTGCCGGTGAAGTCGTCATAGGGCTACAAACCCAACACCAGGATGAGGCGTGGATTTGGACGTCGCAAAAGGAACAACTTGTAGAACCACACACAAAAGGGCCGGCGAGGCAAATCTGATGAAGCCACGCTACTCCCGAAGGCCCCTGAAGAACCGTTCTTTCAAAATGTGCCAACACAGAGGTGCACGACACTCAGAGAGAGTTGTTTATCGCAATAAAAACCGAAAAGGAAACTTAGGTGCCCATCTCTAAAATAGTTTGTTGTTAAATAATGGTATATCTATGCAATGGAATATCGTTTAAACAGGAAACGATAATGCAAAAATAGATTGCTAAACATAGAAAGGTGTTTCCAATATAGTAGGTTGAAAAAACTTAGTTTGTACAGAATTATCCTATTTTTGCTTAAAAAGAATCTATAACTATGGATGCAGGTAGAAAAAGTGTGGAAGGACTCACATAGTGGCTATACGTGAGAAATGGGCTTATTGATACTTTTTACTTCTTTACGCGCTTCCACATCTCTGACTTGTAGGGTATAAACGTGTCACCTTATTTAAACGAGGAAGCAAACTGCGAACTCGGTTTTGGAATGGGGCACATGGAGCGGGGGAGCACGTGGGCACGCGGGGCAGCCGGTGCTGGGCCAGGTGGGGCACCGCAGGCTCACCTGAACATCCGCTCACCGACGTCCTCCTCCCACTGGCTGGAAGGGGTAGAGACGACCCCAAAGGAACCCAACGGTTGGTGCGTGATGGGAAACGGAGTCTGCTTGGAGGAAAATCCAGCCCTGGCGGGGGTCTCCTTGGGCACAGACGAGAACGGGAGACACGTGGCAGCGCAAGACACAGATAAGTTGACGACTTCCACAGCCTTCAGGCTGTCCAGAGGGAAGGTCTCTGCCGGGGCCAGGGGGGACCCCGCGGTGGCAGAGCCGGCCCTGGGCTCCTGGTGACCCACGACCTGGGAGTGGGCGGAGTGAGCCACAGTGGGGCACCCCGCGCCCGCCTGATGGCCCTCCTCCCGGGGAGCCGCGTCCTCGCCGCTGCAGGCTGAGCCGCCGGGTTTGCCGGCTAAGCCCTGGCCAATGGCCTCAGCCGCTGATGCGCAGCTCAGTTCAGGCGCCTCGTGGTACGTGCGGCGTTCTACACCCGAGCTGCCGCTGCCGGACGGAGGGCTCACCCCCGCGTGCCCGTGTGTGGGTGTGTCCTTTGGGGTCTCCGCTTGTGCCCCAGGGGATCTGTCCCAAGGGTGTTCAAGGGCTATGATATGTGGTATTTTAAAATTAAGACCTTTGGTTCCAACCCCCGGAGGGGTCTCAGTCCTGCCGTCCAGGCAACAGGATCCTTGAGGATCCAGGTGAACGTCTTTATTTTGGGGGACGTCTCTAGAACCGGGGCCTCGCTGGCTGTCAGCATCTGAAACCACCTCCACAGGAGAAAGGCCCGCCCTGGTGTCCTGGACTCTGGGGCCACCACTGGGTCGACTGCAGGGTCCCGGGGGGTCTACGCTCTCAGTGTGCCCAGCTGAAGTGTCAGGGACAACTCCCCGAGGCCGCACGGCATCCGTGTCTTCGGCAGATTCCTCGGGGCTACTGATCTGGGGCGCCGACGCTGACTTGGTCAGTTTGGTGAGTGCCAGCTCCCGCTCCTCTTCCTCAAAAGGCAAAGAGCTGATGGAGGTGAGGGAAGCCTGGATCCCGCTTGGCAAACTCATGTTGCTCTCGGTGTGTCCGCCCTCTAAGGAGTCCCTGTGCAGGGCGTGCCTTCGGACCAGCTGGTGCAAGGCCTCCCGGTCACCGGGCACCTCCAGGGCCCTGCTCCGGGCCTCGGACCAGGCCACGGAGCTTGGCTCACTCTCAATGCCTGAATCCGAGATGATGGAGGACGATCTCTTGATGACCCCAGAGAGCAGTGACGCTTCCTCCTGCTCCTCTGGGGGAGGGTCCTTCGGGGACGCCCGCCAAGCAGAGCTCAGGGGATCGCAAGACTCACCGGGGCAGAGCTTCACACTCAGCGGCAGCATCTTACCGTCCTGGGCGGCTCCCTTTCCCAGAGTCCTTACCTCGTGGGGTGGTGTTTTCTCTGAAGAGACGGCATTTGGACGATTGCCGTCTGCTACCCCTTTGCCGTCTGATTCACAGTTACCTTGAAAGTGTCCCTTCCCGTGCCGATCCCTCATGGCCGCCAGGGGTTCAGCTCTTCCGGGGTGCTTATTGCCAGACCTCACATCGATGTATTCCGGGCCGTCCTCCGGGCCCGGGCTCCTTCTGGGCAGGATGTCATCGGCGAGCGAGTGCGTTCCAACGTCAGACCCGTGGCCAGCCCCGTGTCCCTCCTCAGGCAAGCCCGCTGCGTGCTGGAACTCGCCGACCGTCAGGGACACCTGAGATGCGGAGCGCACGTCCGCGTGGCTGGGTGTGGTGGCGTTCTCGTCTGACCCCACAGAGCTAGTCCCCTCCCCCTCCGAGTCCATGTGGGGTGGTTTCAGGGTGGGCAAGGCCAGGTGCTCCCTGAAAGGTGATCTCCTGTCTTCCGTATGGTTCTGTTCTCTGTCTTTTAGACTCGTTTCTGCAGGGCTGGTTGCTGGAACATCAAAATTAGAGTAAATATTCAAATGATGCCCTACACAAAGGAAAAAGAAACCATATACTATAGTTTACGAATCTATGTTCACAAATTATCCAAATGCCTGATTGTGTCAGAAAGAATTTGGCTGGACTCTGTGCCTGGTTCCTTGGAGGTAAATTCTAAATTCTTACAATTTCCCAAGTGATGGGGGGTCTTGGTATCCATGGGCCCTGACGGCCTAGGGTGACCCGGTGACCCAAGGTGAGTCCTTTGAGAGTTCATGCCAAGGAGGCGACTCGGCATGCGGTGGTAATGCCGGAGAGGCCAACCACGCCATTGGCTGGTGGGAGCTTCGTGCCATGTGACACCCGAGCGGCCTCTGATGAGGAAGGTGGGCTGGGCGGTGAGGTGTGATGTGGCCAGCAACGCGGTCGACCACGCCTGCCTCAGGAAACCCCAGTAAAACCCTGGACCCCGAGGGACACCTTCCGTGCCCACACACCCCAAACAGAAGAGGTCGGGGGGAGGGGAAGGGCTGGTCTTCTACTTCCTTTAAAAAGTTTAAATCCTCCTTATGGTTTTAATAGAAGTAGAAGGGTTATAACCACTATTGAATGTTAACGCAAAGTAAACCATTGAGACACTTATGTAAAAACTGCGTAGGACTTGGAAACGTCATCACCTCATACCTTTAAGTGAAACCTATGACTGGATCAGGATCAGACCAAAGGTTGTAAAGACATGGATCGCTTTCTTATCTGGACACATTCTCAGCATGGTGAGGGACTACGCCAGTGTCCTTCCTCTGGGTACGAACTGCTGCGATTATTGGACACCCTTTTGGGGCTCCCTTTGTGCTGGTCACCCTGAGGTGCTCTGCGGACAGATCTCGCCAGGGCCCACGGGAGGCTGCAGGCAGAAAGGGCCCTCTCTGGCCCAGTTCACACAGCTGCTAGGGGTGGGAATGAAGACGCCCGGGGCAACCGCCGGCTGTGAAGGGCTCGATGGCCTTGGGACAGGGGAGTGAGGCCGGGTGGGGGGAGGGACAGGTAGCAGAGGCAGAACTGGAGTGCCTAGCACACAGCAGGCATTCTGGCCGTGGTAAGGTAGGTGGCAGGCCTTGAGCCAACGTCATTACTCTGATGTGCTAATGCAACTCTTCCGTTTCCCTTTTCACTCCACTAAAAGAATGGAATTCGGGTATGATAAGGTCACTGCGAGTTATAAATAGGAAGGCCGCCAAGCCCTTGAGGAAATGGAAAAATAGTTCTTGGTTTGGTGATACTTTTGCTCTGGGATTGAAGAACCATCAAAGTACGTCATAAAAAAAAAAAAGCGAGAGGCCAAGGGAAGCTTTGGGTTTTGAACGGGGGCCTGGATTACTCTGCACAAGTCGTGTGAGGGCTGAGGGTAGGGGCGGGGCGGGTGAAGGTGCTGGGGAGAAAGCCCGGCCTCGTGACAGTAACATTAGAGGGTCTGAGAGCGAGGGCAGCCTTCCCTTAAACTTCTCCTCTGACTCCTCAAACTTTCTCTAGGTAAATGATAAAGCTCTAGTGAAGAGGGACATAGACACGCGCACACACACACTCACACATGCAGTCTCAGCGCAAAGTTCAGCTTCCTCCCCTCCAGCTGGGCTGGCTGCCCTCGCTGGAGCCACGTTGCGGGTGTCATACCCGGTGTGGACACCAGGTGTCAGCGTACAACTGAGAGCCAGGCAGCATCCTTCCCGTGCAAGGCAGCGCTGTCCTCGGGAGCCACCCGGACTGCTGAACATCCCGCCCGCCTGAGCTTGCGGGCGCCCTGGGATGTAAAGGGGCACCAGAGTTCCAGGGGTTGGAACTCCTTGCCGAGGTGGCGAGGTGGGCGTCCTGGGCTTCGGAATCGGGGTGAACTGGGCTTTGAGTGTGGGCTTCTATCCGCTGCCTGCTCCTTCATACATACTCGTACTCCTCGTGCCTCAGTTTCTCCCTGTGAAATACAGCCTGTAGGGTTTCTGTTAGGGGATTAAAACACTGAAACATGTAACACCTGCCGCAGAAGGCTTGGCATTTTCTGTCCTTGAAGGGATCGTGGGCGTATTCCAGTTGCCGGTTTCCCTGAGCAGGGCTGTGCAAGGGGACAGAGAACTAGCATTCACTGCCTATCCCTCGTTAACAAACTGTGCAACACCAGCAGAACACACGGTGTGTGAACAAACACACACAGACGTGTTATCTTTCCTCCCCGGAACGAGCCGTTCTGGGCTGGGGGAGGAACGCTGTGCACGCGCAACCTGACATGCCCTGATGTCTGAGCTGCACATCGAGGCAGGAGGGCTCTTCCCGCCGAGGCACGGGGCACCCTGGGAGCAGGGGAACTGGGCTGTTCTGCAGGTGAAAACATTCAGACTCTCGGTACCATTCCTCCCCAGAACGAGCGGGCAAGGGAATTGCTACTACAATTGTCCCATTGTTACACGGACTTGCCAATTTCACTGGGGAAGAAAAGGCATTCGCAGTTAACTCACACGTAACCTATAGTTTTTGCTTCTCCTCTAACAACGAAGAAGCTCCTTCTTCACTCCCTTGGCCCCCCTGCCCTTGAGGCATAAATAGAGTGACGGACGTGACCCCACTGGGAAGCCCTGGTCTCCAGTGTTTCCAGAACAAAGAAGACACACCTGTCACAGGGCAGTCCACGTATCTGTCCTCGAAGATGACCGGCAGGGTGCTCCAGTCGCCGTCGATGTCCAGGCACTCCGCGGGCAGCGGGGGCATGGTGGTGAGGTACTCTGAGTTCCGGATGTCCAGAGACAGCTGGCTGTGGGCTTGGACCCTGGGGAACGCACAACCAGGTGAGCGTCCGAGGAAGAGTTTGATGCGGTAAAATTGCCAGCCCATCCCCTTATCCCAGGAAACGTTCAGAAAATGTCCAGCAGATTCCGAGAGTCGCTGTCCGTCTGCCCAGCCTTCCTGTCTCCCCAGCCCCCCAAGCCCTAGTCTGCTTTGTGGTGGAACTGGTCTGGGCACCGAAATAGAGGCCGTGGATCAGGCGTCATGTGATTAGTGAAGCATGGGGCATCTGTCACGTTCCATTCCATGGAGTGGAATAAATGCCATTCCAGTGGAACCGGGACTGGATTTCCAAATGACTAGGAATGCCACCTTTGGGAGGAAAACCTGAAATCTCTGTATTTATACTCTTCCTTCTCTGATCACCTTCAGCATTCAGGGTCTGACACATTTTGGTGGCACTTGAATTAAGAGTCATCTACAGTGAACTTTTTCCCTGCTCACTGTGTGGACCCCAGCACCCTCGGACCCCAGAACTGATAGGGTATCAGTTCTCTTAGTTTAGGATCATGTGTTTTAATCCCCCCGTACAGGGCCCTAAAAATGCCCCCATCTTCTTCTCCCATGACTCCAATACCCCTCCACCAGCAGGGGTCCGGGTCCAGAACCTGAAACAATCAGAATCCCTAACTCAAAGCCTGGTCTGGTGGAAAACGTTCATTCCCTTCTTCTCCACTTCCTGCAGAAGGGAGAGTTTATTTACACCTCCTGTTCTGGAAAGAAAAATATTTTCCATCATTTTTCTCTATGCCCACTTGCTCTTTCACACGGGAAGAAGAGGGTATTACCGGGTTGTGAGTTTGGGAGAAGAATTGAACATGCATAGCTGGAGTCTGTCTGTCTGTCTGTCTGCAGCACCTTTGGGGGCAGCCTGGCCTCTGGGAGCCCCACCTCGATCCCTGGCGGTGGCAGCCGCCGGCCCCTGCAGAACAGCTGAGGCTGCGGAACTCCGCACGAGCCCCAAGCCACACCTGTGCATCAGCGTCCTCAGTAACAAATGAACACAGACATGTGTGCATGTGTGACACTTTGTATATATACACTTAATAGACAGAGGAACTATGGACAATTTCTTTCTTTCTTATTTCCCAGCAGGAGCTTAACCTATGAAAGAGAAGGGGAAACAATGTATCCCCTTCCTCAAAGCCCTGAGGTCTGCTGCGCCTTCCTGATGCTTTGACCCTTTCTCTGAATATTCAAAGAGACTGTTGTTGCAATTAATTCTGTACTTCTTAGTCATCATCAGGACTTGGGACTTCTGGTCCAGTTTTTAGTTTACTTAAAAAGTATATTTATTGACAGCAATGTGCATAGAATGTATAAACAAGCCAAGACATATACCCAGGGGATTGAAACTTGACTCCAGACCGAAAGAGCTTACGGAGTCAGGACTGAATCAGGTAAATAATCAAGTAATCCTAAAGCAGCAGGGAGGGCTCTTAGGATAAGTCTAAGTTACTTCACGTGAGGAATTATTTCCTGCCAGAAGGTGCCCCTTGGCCGGAGGGGCTTTGGGAATGTGACCCAGTACGTACCCAAAACTGTGCTTCCGATGTGTTTACAAAATGACTTAAAATGCTAGGGGCATATCCACAATGAGCTGCCACCTCCCACTTATTTGGTGGCTGTTATTAGAACAACAACAACAACAACAACAGCAACAAGAAAAGCCCAAGGGTTGGCATGGGTGGGGCGGGTTGGAGCCTTTGTGGGAATAAAAAATGGCGCACCCGCAGTGGGTAGTGGATAAGAGTCCAGAAGTCCCCTGACAATTTCAGAGTAGGAACACCACGTTCTGCCGCGGTCCCACCTCCGGGTGTGAGCCCCAAAGAATTGCAGTCGGGGCCTTGGGAGACAGCCGCACTCCCTCGTGCTCCGCCGCGCTGTCCGCGGCGGCCAAGACACGGAAACACGCTGCCTGCCACGGCCAGGTGAAGGGAGGGAGAGAGCGCGGCGCGCCGGAATGGCACTCAGCCTGCAAGAGGAGGCAATTCTGCAACCCGGGACCCCCCGGGGGGACTCCCAGGATGCCCCGCTTCATGAAAGGAGCCAGTCACAGAAGGACAAATACCGCCTGAGTCCACTAGTCTGAGGAGGCTAAAACAGTCACGTTCCCAGGCTCACAGAGTAGGGTGGCGGTTGCCAGGGGCTGGGGTGGGGTGAGGCAGCTCCTAATCAACAGGCATGAAGTTCCAATGAAGCAAAATGAATTAGCTCTGGAGAGCTGCTTTACGGAGCACACGGGGCCTGGTTTATCACCAGCTAATTTCAAGGTCAGATTTCCCCTGACTCCAGGAGTACAGCCCAACAGCATGCAGATCCTTCTAGTTCAGGGGCTGAAGAATCCACGTTTTATTTTTTGGGTGTATTCTTTAGATAATGGCTCAGTACTATACACAGGAAGCAAGTAGAATGGGGTGGGGTCCGGATTCCCACCAACCCACAGCCAGGCCACTGGCTCACCGTGTGTGGTCTAAGATAAATTACCTAACCTCTAGGAGCCGCCCGGGTTTCCCCCGGTGTTTTCCTCTGCAAAGCAGGAGTAGTAGCTGCTCCTCCTCAAGGGGCGGACGGAATACTAAGTGCGCTGGTGGGTGCAGAGCGCTCAGCACAGCTCCACGCTGGAGTCGAGTCTACGGGCTAAGCTTCAGGAGGCAGGCACTGTGCCTATGGCTTTCAGCCCTACATACGTGGCGTCTTGTAGAGTGAATGAGGTTTAGAAGTTGCACAGTGGAAATTAAATCATCAGGACAAGTCTCCGTAGGCACCGCCAGCCCCACATTCATGCGTTCACCGAACTCTCACGGCACGCGTACCGTGTGAAAAGCGCTGGCTGGACGGGTAACGCAGGGAGGGGTAATAAAAGACGCCCTTGCTGCTGGCAAGTTCTGTGCCATTTCTGAACGCCTTTTCAACGTTGCAGCCCGCAGCAGGAAACAGCCTTCGTGTTACGTGGCATCTCGGCACAGCTGCGCCCAGTCCCAGAGGCGCACGCTGAGCAGAAGCTCCGCCGCCCCTTCTCCGTCTTACTGCCAACTCGGTCGCCCCTGTACCATCCTGCCCTGTCCTTCCCTCCTCTGTCCTTCCCCATTTAAGGGGGGCTCTTCCAAATCCGCTCCGCTGACCCCACAGTCCACGAAATGACTGTGACCTGTTTGGGAAATGCAATCCAGTTTGAACTTGACCAAGATGGGTCTTGGCAGGTGACTTCCCCCCGGGCCACGCCGTCTTCCCGCTGTCCATCCGCATTCAGCAGGCGGCTTCGGCCTCCGGTGCCGTGGGCTGTGGTCCTTAAGGCAGCCACGCCTCCCTCCGCCTCTGACCCCCGGCGGGGCGGGTCGCAGCCCAGCACCAGGGCCAGCGGAGCTCCGGGCCGGACTGCTCTCCCCATGAGAGATCCGCTGCTGTTCCCGGCACTTTGCAGAGCAACTTCTCAGTCTGAGACAAAATTCCCCTCTCTGTTCAACAGGTCTTATTCTTAATGATCTAATTACACATGGATGTCCTCTTGAATAATTTAGTGTCTATCCTAGCCCATGCCTGGGGTTATAGGTTAATTATCTACTGTTAATTAATTGCAAATTTCTCTTTTCTCTTAAGCTGTACTATGGAACAAATATTACAATCTCCTCTCACACGGATGGATACTTTTCCATAGTGCTTATTACATTTGGCCTGTCCTATTCGTTTACTTCTGCTACTGATCTGTACTGTCCATGAGGTGGGAAATTTGTTCACTCCTGGATATCCAACACCCCAAACAGGGTCTGGATTGCGGTCAACAGTAAAGAGATATTTGTTGCATGAAGGCATCTCCCTTTTATACCTATGCAATGCATTAAGAGAAGTTCAGCAACTAGTTTGATGTCCCAAGTGTTATAAGTTACAGAATCAGGATTTCGAACCACGTCCATGAGATCTGAGATTCAGGGTCTTTCCACCATACTCACTGGACAATAAAAACAAAAAGGCCTTAATTATAACTGCCACAGTACAAAGTCCAAAGTCGTTATCCTGGTCAGCAGGGTCCCGCCTGGGCCGGTGCCTGCCTCCCGCCCCGGCCCCACCCCGCTCCCCCCTCCTTCCTGCTCTCCTCACACATCTCGAGCTCCCTCAGTAGAGCCCGTCCGCCGAGACCCCCTCCGCCGGGACGCCGAGACCCCCTCCGCCGGGACGGGCTTCCTCACTGTCGTCACGCAGGGCTTGCGATGACCCGGCCCCTCTCCTGTCGCTCTGGCTAAGACGGGCCTCACCCACCCCCAGCGCAGCGTCGGAGCAGGCTCAGCCCGGCTGGCAGAGTCCCTCGTACACGCGTCTTCCCCAGGCCGCGGTCAGGGCCCGTCGGCACGGACCGCCAGGGAGCACCCCCGTGGCGGGAGCCGGCCGGCCGGGCTGCGGACCGAGCTGGCTGCTTTTGCCCCTCTGGGAGCCAGCTCCTGGGCGCTGCTGAGGACACTGGCCACGCCCTCTCACTGGTGTACTCGACGCCCTGCCTGCTTCTCCGTTAAGACAAGCAGCCCAAGGGCACAGCGTCTTCACCGCGCTCCCTGCCACATCCTCAGTGCCCGTGTGTGCGATGAACAATTGGGGCACGCGTGGGTCCCTGCCTAGCCTTCCCTGAGGCTGCCACTGCGGGCTCCGTGGGCCAGGGTGTCCTCGTTTGGTACGCACGGTTATGATCCGGCCCACTCGAAGGAAGATAAGATTAGGTGAGGTTTAGAAAAAACAAACGAAAAGCAAATGTGACATGAAAACAATGCTCTCAAGGGCCTCCCGGAGGTGAATGGAGGGGCAGGACTTTGAACCCAGGTCGGCTGGATGCTGCATCGTCTGTCCTTTGTACAAGCGGGTGGCATGTCAACAACACTCTCGCCGGGGAGCAGCTGCCTGTGTGTCCTGTGCCCGCTACGTGTGCTCACACTCCTTCGGAACACGACCGTGCCCGGCTGTCTGCAGTCTACCTGTGGCCAGGGCGACTCGGGACGCAGAGGTGCAGCATTGTTCTCAGGTCTTCTGATTTGGGTTTTACAAACTACAGGCAGGCAGTCCCAGCTGGGGCTGGAATGAGCGCATGAATAAGCGACCGAGCATCCATCTCGGGCATTTCTGAAGAGGCCATTGTAACTGGCGGGTGTGTTTTCTCCTGGTGCCCCCCGCTTCCACAGCCCAGGAGGCAGCTGTGCAGGTCAACGTGCTTCCCTGATGCAGCGGGGTGCGGGCGGAAGTTGGGCTGGGGACCTCCGCGCCTGTCCTGAGTGGGGGCGTCTCAGGCGCTTCTCCCACGGAACCGACTGCGGCCCCTCAGCCATCATTCCGGCCGCATCTAGTTCCTGAGACAAACCTGCCATTTGGAAACGAGGAAACCCTAGAGCCCGCGGGGCGAAGGCTGACGCACCTTGGAGGGACCGCTGCTTCTGCCACCAGGCAACCTGAGCGAGGAGGACCTCATCGTTCGTCAGCCCTCTGACCTTTCTGAGTACGTTTTCATTTTTTTCCTTTAATTTTGGAGAAAGGCAAGCTTAAAAATTCATCAGTCTCCTGAATGAGGGAGTTCGGTCTTCCATCATAGGCGAAACACATTTCATAGCCACTGCAAAGCCTCCGGCAAAGCTTGCATTCCCCCTCGACCCCCAACATAATTTGTGGCCACACCCTCTGCTTCTAACTCATTTTGCAAAGAGGCCTCGGCACCGATGTCTTTGGGGGCCCAGGAAGCCTGGATCCTGCCTGTGGCACCGTAATGACACTGAACAAAAGCAAGCTTGGCCGTCGGCCGCTGCCACCTGCCAGCTCCCGCCTCTGCCATTTGCCTGAGTCCTCTGCCTGCAGAGAGAACGCAGCCCAACAGGCAGGGGCGGGAGACGTCTCTCCCGCACAGTCAGGGACAGGGAAGGCAGCCGCTGAGAATGGCAGTGTCTTGGGTGGCTCCTTTAGGGCGTGACGCGGGCAGGTAATGGGCTACTTACAGATTTTCCTGAAACGTCAGGACGGCAGGTTTTTGGTGTTCCATGTAGAAGAAGGCCTCGGAGAACCTTCGGACCTGAGGAAAGAGTGTCACGGGCAGGGCGGGCGCTGCCCCGATCGGCATACGGGAGCGGAGGCCCCGGAGGCAGGTGCCACGAGGAGGAGCCGAGCCCGCCCCCCGGGAGCCCTGAAACGAGAGCCTGACCCCCCTTCGCAGGCCGCCCCTCACAGCTCTGGCTCCCGCCTGCCTTAGGGACACATGTCCATGCGGGTTTATGAATCTGCTCTTGTATTGCTTTCTGTCACTTTCATAAGTAGGTCTTAATTCTTCCGCTAGAATAGAAAACACTCGAAAACGGGGGCTGAAGAGAAATGCGGGTGAGACGGAATTTGCAAGGCCAGCCCGGCGCGTGCGTGCCCTGGGCACCCGGGGCCTTGGCTATTTGGTCTGTTTGCCATCTTTTGTTATATGGCAGAACTCGTCCAAGCGGGGAGCCAAGACATACACCGAGAGGGGTGTCTTACATTTCAACATACTCTACTTGCTGGGTATAATGCACAGCTTTTTGTCCACATTTTTGAAGGATGCACATTATACATGGGTATAATGATTATATACCACGGGTTTAATAATCTCGTGGATAATGCGCACAAAACATGGGTGCACATTATACCCAGCAAAATACAGTATTTTTCAAAACACTTTCAAGGCACTTGTCACATCTCTTGACAGGGACTCTGGTCATCTGGCAGCTAAGGGAGGTCTTTTATGGATGGGGGAACCAGGTTTGAGAGGCTCACCCAGGCCTAAGGCATCTCAGGGCCGTTCACCGGGGACCCAGGACCGGCCCTGAGGCCCACGGGGTCAGGCCCAGTTCTCGCTCTGCCCCACGAACGCACGGCCGTGACGCTTCCTCGAGGGGCCACAGCATGGGACTCGCTGTGTGACACCTTACCCGCAGGGTGTGATGCTCCTGCGCGAGGTAAGTGGTCACGTGGGAGTGCAGGGTCACCGCGTCTAGGAACTGGGTCCACAGAGCCATCAGGTGGGAGGCGAGCCAGGCGAGGTCCTTACTTATCTGCTCGGCTATCTTCTCTGGGCTGTTCAGCATCTGAGGAGGCAAGAAGGTGGAGGTAGAAGGCCCCTCCTCCAGGGCACTACCGGGGGCTTCCTCCTGACATCTCTACTTGACTTCTCTGCTTTTAGCGACTCTCTCTCCTTTCTCTGGATGTGGTCCTCTGTCCCCTTACACCCCGAACTCAGTACCCAGCAATCGTCACAGCTGCCACTTACTAATATTGACTGTTTGGCCAGTGGAACACCAGGGCGGTTCTTATGTCTTCCCGTTTCATTCCTACAATTCCCTTGGGGTGGAGTTAGTAACCATCATCGTACAGAAAAGGTATACGAGACGCAGAGGGATTCAAGACCACGGCCAAGGGGACAACAGCAGGGGTTCACCGGCAGGACCGTCTAACCACAGGGCCGCAGCGCTGCGCGGCCCCCACGTGGCGGGTGCGGTCACAACGGCTCCCTTTGACCCCCCAGCCCCAAGGCGGTTAGGTGGCTTCCACCTGGTGGGTGCTCAGCAGCCCCAGCAGCACCCTCTCCCCCTCACTCCGATTTCTTCAGGGGGATCCAGGTTGCCTTGCCTGATACTTCCAGGAGCCAAACCTACCAACCCGCTGCTTGGGGGTGACTTTAATTCGGGAGAGGTGACGGAGAGAGAGGTCAGGTCTCGGGACAGGCAGGGAGCCGGCTGCCGAGGCCTGACCCCAACACTTAGGCTTCACCATTTATTCAACAAGCATTCAGTCCCCCGACAGCCCCCTGGCTGAGCTCCGACCCTCTGGCAGCTTCTGCCCGATGTGTGAACCAACCATTTCCCAGGAGGCTTCTAGTCCTCTTCCATCTTTATGTTCCCAGCAAAAGGCAGTGCCTGGCACGGAGTAGATGCTTAATAAATATTTATCAGGTTCACACAGAGTAGAGATACATATGCATCGCCGCATTACTGTAGAGCTCTGTGTTTGCAAACTGTGCCTAGCCACCTGAAACAGTTGCCATCCCCGACCCCATCCGCGGGAGAAGGACGCATTCAAGACCATGTGTGGCCACTAGGTGGCGACGTCCTGCCTCTAAAACTCTCAGGGCTGTGCGCACCTTTTGGGGTGCTGGTTGGGGGAGCTCTGTTTCTTCCACTCCAGTCACCAGCCTCTCCCTTTAACAAACCACCACCACATCCTGTTCCCTCCCCCGTCACCAGCCACATCCCTGTAGCAGTCAGATAATCCAGTTGCTTTGTGCCAAATAAAGCCTGCGCACCTTAGGGCCGGCACCAAAAGAGGAAGCCAGCCGTGGGTCCCTCAGAGTGTGTGTCTGGTAGACCCATCAGCTGAGTTCTCGCCTGAACCGCTGCAGGGACCAGAAACGACCGTATGACTGGGACTCCCACGTGGCCCCGAGTCCAGGCCCCGGGCCCACAGCCGAGGGGCTCAGGGACTTGCAGGAAGCCACCCTCCTCCGCATCCACTCGTGGGAAGCGAGTGGGCACATACCCATGCCTCCCCGGCCTGGCGGGGCTGCTGTGAGGGCAGCGTCCTGCTCCAGGGGCGCAGGGCCAGCGCCCAGGATGGGGTAGCCGGCCTTGGGATTGTTTTCGCTGTAAACGCGGTCATCTGCTGTTTGCTGCTTAGAGACGCGCTCGCCTGCCACCCCCGGCTTTCCCAGCCCGCATGGAACCTGTCACTCTCCTTCCTCACGGCTCCCTGTGACCAGGCGTTAGTTCCAGCTTTGCCCCAGGCCGGGCACACAGGCCCCCACAGGGGCCTCAGTCGCTGCACTGCTTCCCTCTCTGGAGCCTGGCCCGCGGGTCCCGAAGCGCAGCCCTGCGCCCGCGCCCGCGCCCTCTGCCTCCAGCCTCGGGGCCTGGTTAGCCCTCGCACAAAGTCAGGGCTCCCTCCATGCCTCCAGGCGCGGCTCCAACGCGGCCTCCTCTCTGGGGTCCACCAGCTTCCGCCTCCTCACCGTTCGTGACGCATCCTCCCGCGGTCCCAGGCCATGCCGTTATCTGTGTCCACATCTGTGACCCCGCAGCCTGCGCGGACCAGCGGGGTGATGCACCTGGCTCTAGGCACATGGGAGCATATGTCCCCCTCGTCACAGCCTCTGTCCACACAGGACACCAGGTGACAGGAGGGGATGGGAAGGTGCTCGAGAGGTTGTCACTAATGACATGCACCTGCCTAGCACTTACTAGGCACATGTTCTTAATACACCCTTGACAAATTTTTGGCAAATGCTCACCACTGTCTGCATCATCACGTGGTAGGCGCTCACCTCCTGCCAGGCCCAAGCCCCTCTGAGCACAGGTGGGTGCCCGGTCTCTGTCACCCTCCGTGAGAGGCACGTAGTTGGTCGTCAATCAAAGCTCATTAAAGGGATGGGTCATGGGCAGGTAGGTGTGACCTGAGCTTCACGACACAGAGACCTGCTAACCTGGTTCGTTTCTCCAAAGTATCTAGCACAGAGCTAGGCACACAGCAGGCAGCTAATAGACACGTAACGGTTTAGCATGTTCTTCAGCCTAGAGCGGGGTTACAGGCCTGTCCTTCATCTCTACTTCTTTATCAAGCAAACGCCCATGTCTGCTCTGTGTAACGGCAGCCACTCGGACCCCTGGGTCAGGTCTGCAGTTACCTGTAGCTCTGAGCACAGCCGAGACAGCGTTTCTTCAACAGCGAGAGACTCTAGGAAGAGAAACGACAACACACAGTGAAATGCACACGCCCCGAAGCACAGCCGTTGCTAACTGCGCAGGACAGGCATAGGGTCACGTGGGCGGGAAAGTCCCAGAAAGAAATATGCTGCCAGGAAACCCCCTTCTGCCTGTCCCTACCGCCCACGGGGCCGTGTTGGTCAAGTGGACAACCAGACAGGGAGCCAGCCCTGTGACGTCACACGCCCCGACCACACCACAGACCCTTGGTGCCACGTGACACCACGTCCTTTCATGTCTTTGCAGGCAGCTGTGCCTGTGCACACACACCCTCACACTCAGCGTGTGACCCCCGTGGGACAGGGTGTGTGTCTCCACCGTGCAGACCAGGGCCCAGAAGTGCAGGGAGGTGGAGCGGCAGGGCTGAGCCCCCGTGCAGCCCCGTGGGCTCTGCCGTTCCTGACCGAGTGACCTGGGATCCCGCTGTCTCGTCGGCAGGAGCCCGGGGGCCGGGGCCCTGTGTGACGTGACGTGACGCTCACACTTCCGCCTGCGTGTGAACTCTCCGGGGCTGCACGGTGCTGGGATCGGTGGATGGCCCTCGGCTGCGGCATGGGCTCCGATTAAAGCGCTGCCGCCCAGGTGCGTGGGAGCGATCCTCGATGAGGGCCCGCGGAGCGCACACCCCACCACCCGGCGTCCGTCTCGGCCTGCGGCCCACCCGCAGCACAAAGGCCTGTTGTCACACCAATCGCAGCAGTGTCCTTGGAGTCGGGCACAATGTCTGGCACATGGTAGGTGGTCCATAAAAACATGAAATGACTGCATGAACTCCCCCCGCCCCCCAAAACCGAGTGCCTTTGGGTAGAAAGAAGGGAAAGCGGAAGCCAGTAGCTGCTGAACCACCTCCATGTCCCCTTTGGGCCAGGCGAACTGCTCTGGCCCCGCGCCCGTCTTGGCTGCATGCGTAGCATTTGGATCTACAAAACACATCAGCCCCACAGCCGCATGGCTGGGGGCGGCAGCTGCCCGGTCCGCAGGGTTAGAGCTGCAAAGCTCGCTGGTAAGACCACACCGGAATTCAGTGCTTCCACAGGCGGCACCCCCCACCCCCTCACCGGGCCCCATGCAGGAGGAATCTTAGGGGACCTCTGCCCTCAAAGACCCCAAGTCTAGTGAGGAAGAGAAATGTGCAAGTGAAACATTGTTACATGATGCATTTGGTGCGGCCAGAGGCAACCCCATCTCAGCAGGTGGCGGCCAGAGGCAACCCCATCTCAGCAGGTGGGTCCAGGGCACAGGGAGAGGAGCCGAGGGACCCAGCGCGTCTCTGTTGTTGACCTTGACCACCAGACTAAGGACCTGGTCTAGGGACCCAGGGGCCTCCTTCGAGGACTTTGCACAGACCCTGGCCATTTCACCGCTGTAAATGAGCGTGGCGTGAAAGAGACCCTGCTCCGGGAGTCACGGCAGCACCTCCGCACTCCCGCCGGGGTTCGGCCACTCGCTGCTGGGTGACCCCGAGACCGCTCTGAGCTTCCGCTCCACCATCTGCCAATCCAGAGGGCCCAGGCCCATGGGTCTCCATAATGTCTGAGGATGGGCAGCAAGCGATTCATCCCCAGAAAACCAACTCTGAGGACCAGGAAGAGGCCTCTACCATCAGTTGCAACACTGTAACCACAGCCTAGATAAGATAAGGCTCTACACCAGTGTTTTGCCTTAGGAAGCAACTTAACATTATGCTCCCACGGTGCCAGGCATGCAGTAGGTGTTCAATACATGCTTGGTGGATGGATGGCTGGATGGATGGATGGATGGATGGGTGAATGAACGCTCCTTGAGCTGCGTGTGTCTTTTCTTCCTGCATCTGCACCTCCGAGAGTCTCTCCTGCTAGAAAGGCATCGGGTGCAGCAATGCCGACCAGACACAGGCCTTCCTGCTCTGGGGCTCACAGGAGCACGCCGACTTCGCTCGCGCGCAGGCAGAAGAGGCGGGGGCCGCGGGAGGAGTGCCCCTGGGGCCCGGCCTTACCCAGCTCCATGTGCGGCAGCTCAGCGACGTCCCGCATGATGCCCAGGAAGTAGGCGCGGAGTCCGCCATGGGCGCGGAGGAGCAAGAGGCACAGCCCCCGGTGCCACCTGTGCGCGCGCTGCATGCAGTTCTCCGAGGGCACGTAGAAGCTCCCCTGCGGGGGGACAGAAACCAGAGCTGAGAGCCATCGCACACGGCCTGGCCCTGAGAAAAGTGGGAAAAGGGCTGGAGTTTCTTCCCTACCCCTGCGTGCGGGAAAAACACTGAAACCTTCCACGTCTCTGTCTTACCATGTTCACGTGAAAATAATAATAGCCATAATAATAACAATGTTCATAGTGATAATAATAACAGAGGATGAGGATGAAGACGATGATGATGATGGCACCGACCTGTCAGCTTTGTGACAGCAGATTGGCACCCACGTACCAGCCTCTTTCCCTTGTCCCTATAAGAAGAGGGCGTGGGGACAGACAGAGCGGGGCTCCTTTCCACAGGGGGATAGGAATTGAGAAAGACCTTCGCGGTACGTGGGTGAGTAGCACCTTGTGCTGAGACGGAGAAAACGCGTTGTTGGAAACGAGGAAGCCTCTGGGGGGTGACGTCATCAACGCCGGGAGAGCTTCCTGGGAGAGGCTCTGAGCGTGACTGTGAAACCTGGCTTTGCGCTCCGGGGGCCCCTCCTGGTCTGAACTTAAGAAACATGTTCCACAAGGTCTGGAATCAAAAGACTTTCCCGTCTCATAAGCAAAAAAATCCCACTGCCGGACACCCACGCTCACCAGGCACGCATCCCCACGTCTCCTCTTCCCTGGGGTGCAAGATCAGCGGTCGGCCCAGCTGTGGAGAAGCGAGCACAGCTGGCACAAAGCGGGTGTGAGGCGGCCTCCCCGGGACTCCGGAGCAAGGAGGGCTCCGGTGTCCACGAAATGGCGAGAGTGTCCCACCACGCTCCATCCCCCCTGGCCGCCCACGAGCACTGTCCATGGCAGATACTCCGATTCTGATACTCAACATGAAACAGAAACACGTCAAAGTCCCCATATTCCCAAGGAAATGAGTAGAGAGTGCCCACCCCCAGAATCCCCACTTTCTTGTAGATCCTTCTCGAATATGTCCATCCGTCTATATGCATGCATGTTTGCATGCACCTGATATACACAGGTATGTCCTAAAAGCACTTGATATACACAGGTATGCCCTAAAAGCACACCCAGACACACAAGTTGGTAAATATGCTGGACCTTTCCCTGTTCCTTGCTTTGATCACTTATGCCTTGGAGTTCTTTCTTATTGGACCAAATAATAAATGCGAGGAACCCCTGTTCCCATTTCCCAGATCCAAAGATGGTGGCTCAAAGAACCAGTAACTTATTCAAGGTCACTCCGCTCTGCCCTCCACGGAAATGATTCCCAAGTTCAGGTGCTAAGTGGAGGCAGTCCTTCCTCGGTGAGTGGCACAGGTCTCTGGGAACCACGCGTGGCGGCGGACGGATGTCCAGCGAGGTCTGCATGCCTTGCCTGAGGCGTTGCTTTAAGCCCTGCGGCGCCTCTGTTAGCTGCGACCAAGCACAAATGAAAGCGGGCAGCGGGCTAAGAATGCATCGGCTCTGGGGGTTCCGGGCCCCAAGTCTCTCTGCGTCGAGCAGCCCTGGCCTCCTGGGCCCGGCCCTGCGGCCTGCTTGCCCTGGGCCTCCTTGCCTGTATCTCCCTTAGAAAGTGCCCCGGGCCCACCGAAGAGGCCCGCACACCAGGGCATCTGCGATCGAGCTTGGCTTGTCAGACTAAACACCGAAATGAAGGGATGTTCAAGAGAGACATGCAGAATATGTTGGGGAATCTTCATACGGCTTATTCAGCATGGTTTCAGAGACCAAATAAAGTCAAAACGCTCATCCAAAAAGAAACCCCGGGGAAAATCATACAGCGGAAGACCATCATACACAGAACGAAGCAAAACAGAGCTCGTTCTGCGAGAATCCCTCACCAGCACCGCCCTCTGAGAGCGGCTGACATGCTGCAGAGAAGCCCGTCCGCGGCCCCTCCAGCTGCGACCGGGGGCCCGAGGAAGGGCCGGCGCACCCCCGTTAGGGGGGTGTGAGGAGGATGGAAAGAAAGCCTTGCCCAGTTGCCCCAGTACAACAAGAGGACACTTTAGCAACCCCCCCTCCCAACAGGTTGGAACAGGACCCCTAAATAGCACAACAGGGCCAGCGCAGCAAGAGGCCGCCGTGGACTGGCGAGCGCTGCTGGCCAGGGCCCGCCCGCCATGGGCACCCCGTCTGTGCAGGGGGCGTGGGCTGCCGGGCGCTGGTGGGGACTGGGCAAGGCTGCTCAGGGCAGGTGCGGACTTGCGCGACGCCCCAGTATAATGTCAGCGAGCAGGGAGAGTGACTTTTGGGCGCTCCGACGTACCCGCCGATGGTCCCTGGCACACGGTGATGGATTGTGCCGCTCAAACATCACCAGTGATCCCCTTAGAAGCTTGAAAATGGACTTTAACTTCATGGAAGTCCTGTGGGAGCTCCAAGGGGACCTGGTTTGGCAAGGCACTGACCCTAGAGTCTCTTGGATGGGCCACTCACTGTCAGTGTGACTCAGCCAGTCCCTCAGCATCTCGTGTGTCGGTTTATAATGTGCGAAGTCGGGGTCACACAGCAAAGCGCTCACTGGAGCACCCGGTTGATATTAAGTGCATGTTAAACGTTCGCTGGGAAGGTTTGCTTTTTACTTCATTGACAGCAGAGATGGCTGAGCTTGCTCTGCACTCGGACCTTCACATAAATGCCCCGTGAATCCACATCTCCCATCTAGTCCTGCCCTGGCCCCCAGCTCTCTGTTCCAAACTGCTGGCTTGGTCCTTGAACCTGAAACACCCGGCATGCAGAAATTCAATTAATGTGTGTGCGAATGAACTGTAGCGCCCTCTACAGGTCTCACCAACATCACGGCAACGTGGACTGGATGCAAACAGAACTGGATTCAAGGTCCAACTCACCTGCCTTGTCCTTCCTTCAAAATTGTGGCACTTCCTCATGGTTTTGGGATTTAGACTGGAATTGGCTAGATTACCACTATAATCATGCTATAGATATTGATGAGCTACATAGCTATATTTACTCACAATTTTTATGAACTACATACACAATCTCATTTTTATTTGGCAAGTAGTAAACACCGATAACCTTTCATTCAATTCAGACACAGCCATTACAGCAACATTTTTGCACAGAAATATCGGTCTATTCTCTCGCATGATATAATTTGGGAGGAATGCATAAATTGTATTGGTTTTAATATTCCCAGTGCTTATTTGAAGAAGGGAGGCAAGCTCTATCAGACCTCAACATCTAGAAATCTATTAATAGCAGCCACTGTTCATAATGTGCCTGCTGGGCGCCTGCTACTAGTTTTTGGTCCCTGGGTTCCTTCTCTTGGTGATTCAGTGAGTTTTGCATTATTATCCCATTTTTGCCAATAGAGAATAAAAATAATAACCACACCAGCATAATCAACAGCCAACCTTTACTATCTGACCCTATTAAATGTCAGGTCTTCAGTACTTTACGAGTACTAATCACTTATCCCAACGCCAGCCCTAAGCGTTATCTCTAGGTACGGGTCTCTAGGTAAGCACCATTCTCTCTAGACCGGGGAACTGCACTCCAGAGTGGCCGACCTGCTGGCCGGTTTCGCGGCCCACACGTGCTGGGCCAGAAATTCAGGCCCATTCTGACAAAGAGGCCACACGCTCCCGCCTTTGTGCCGAGCTCCCGCTGTGGACTGGACCTCAGGAGGCTTAAAGATGCACCTGTGTTCACACTCCCGCAGGCACAGAAGCTGAGCGGGGCCCTGCTGGGGGCCCAGGTTTAAAAGGAAACCTGCTCTTTAAGTGACAAGGGGGATCGAGCCCTCCGGGGCCAGCCTTTGCTTCACGACTCTCCAGCCGGGGTCTGGAAACACTACTCTAACGCTCTGGCCTTTCGGCCCCTTTCTTCGTCAGCAGCACTTGGCTGCGACATGAGTCAGCAGTTCCCCGGCATTGTGCCGACGCACTGGCTTGTGGTGGGGAGCTGCGAGTTGAACCACCAGTAAACATAGTTAAAACACAGGCATTGCAAATGATTTCCCATTACTACGACCTGACTCACAGCTGCCCCTCCTGAGCGCTTCCTGGCATCTCACTGAGTTTCCTTGAGGAGGAGGATGTGGTCAGGCCTCGGCCCATGGGTGGGCAGGGTGGGGGGGTGGTGGCCGGTCCCAAGCCCCAGGCCCCAGGCCCCAGGCCCCGGTCGCATTCCCACCTGGGCACTGTGGGGCCCCCTGGCGGCCCAGCACCTGCTCATCATCCCAGCATCGCGGGACCTTACAGGGAGCTGTGAGTGAGCAAGAGAAAGCCACATGGCTTCTCTCCCTCTGTGAGCTCATTTTCCAGCCTCCCCTCCCTGCCTGGAGACCAGGGGCAGAACCCATCGCCCATCCGCACGGGTGGCTGAAGCGACGGAGAAGAGGAAGGGGCGCAGTGAAGGCAGGGAGCTTCTGTGGGCCCTGTGCGGGGCGAGCGTCGGGGAGCTTACTGCTTTGGTCCCATGGAGTGGAGCAGGGACCAGGGAGGGGCGTCCCGGGAGGCGGGGGCACAGGAGCGACCCCGCATCTGCACCATTGCTGCACTTTCAGCCTGGAGGGACACCCGAGCCCAGCCCCCAGCCCTGCCCCGCCCCTTTCCAAGGCAGGTGCGCAGTTCTGGATGGGAACCGGGCCCTGCCCGCGGCCCGCGTCTGGGGAGCAGGTGCCCCCTCAGAACTTCGCAGCTGCTCCATCAAGGGCCAGAAGACAGGCACACAGCGGGGGGCCAGGAGCCAGACCCCAGCAACCCCAGATGCTCATTGCTTTCAACCTGGATTCCTAAACATGGGTTTCTTCCCCCTCTGTGTATAAGCCTGTTTCAAGCAGTGATTATTAAAAGATACATTTTGGATTCTGCTTGATCCAAAAAAGTCACTGCAAAGTCAATTTTATTGACTTTCATTTTGTGGGGCAAAGCAACAGAGGTCCCTAAAAATTCAGTGGGCTTGGAATTACAGGAATAACCTGGTGACAGACGGTCAAATCCAGCCTCGGCTGCCCACCGGCCCCAGCACCGTGGACCAGGGC